ATTAGGTATTATAACTACAAGGGCTCACATTTTGCTTTTTTCTCTTAATATGTGTAGTCTTCTTTTCACAACAAGAAAGGTAAAACATTTTTAAAATAGTAATTTTTTGTAGGAAAGTATCGATTTTGCAATTAGGCTCCGCCCCTCGATCTGACAACGAATAAAAAATTCATCACAATTGAGCTTGAGATGGATATGGGTGGGGGTTAATTTTTGGCTTGTTTTTACTTAATATACATAGTATTCTTTAAACAACACGTTACTCAAAAACATGTTTTTATTTTTTGTAAAGAAAGAAGTATTTTGCAGTCAAGCTCCGCCCCTCGGCCTACGACGAATAAAAATATCATCAGAATTGAGACCGGGCGGGTGGGCGGGGCTTATATTTTGCCTTTTTTTAATTAATATACATAACCATTTTTTCACAACAAGAAACATGATTAAAATTGTACATTTTTGCAAGGAAATATGGATTTTGCAATTATGGAGCGGAGCCTAATTGCAAAATTGATTTTTCCTTAAACAAACTTTCCATTTTAAACATGTTTTAAATTTCATGTTGTGAAAAGAATTCTACACATATTAAGACCAAAAGGCAAAAAGTAAGCCCGCCCACCCGCCCTACCTCAATTGTGACGATTATTTTTATTCGCCGTGAACCAAGAGGGTGAAACTTAACTGCAAAAACTTATTTCTTTACAAGAAATTAAAAATCTGATTTTGAGCATCGTGTTGTTCAAAGAATACTAGGTATATTAAGAAAAAGAGACAAAATATATCTGACAACGAATGAAAAATTCATCACGATTGACCTTGAGATGCATATGGGTGGGGCTTAATTTTCGGCTTGTTTTTTCTTAATATACATCGTATTCTTTGAATAACACCATACTCAAAATATGTTTTTTATTTCTTCTAGAGAAATACGAATTTTGCAGTGAAGCTCCGCTTCCTTGGCTACCAACGAATAAAAAAATCATCACAATTGAGACAGGGCGGGTGGGCGGGGCTACATTTTACTTTTTTTTCTTAATATACATAGTATTCTTTGGATAACACGACACTCATTTTTAATTTCTTGTAAAGAAATGAGTATTTTGCAGTTAAGCTTCGTATCCTTGGCTCACGGCGAATAAAAAAATCATCACAATAGAGATAGGGCGAGTGGGCGGGCTTACATTTTGTCTTTTTGTTTTAATATCTGAAGACTTCTTTTCATAACGTGAAAATTGAAGCATGTTTAAAATGGAAAATTTGTATAATGAAATATCGATTTTGCATTAGGCTCCGCCCTATAATTGCAAAATCCATGTTTCCTTGCAAATATATTTTAACTATGTTTTAAGTTTCTTGTTGTGAAAAGATGGCTATGTATATTAAGAAAAAAAAAAAAGACAAAATATAAGCCCCGCCCACCCGCCCTATCTCAATTGTGATGTTTTTTTTTATTCGTCGTGAGCCAATGGAACGGAACTTAACTGAAAAATCTTTATTTATGGGCGGGGCTTAATTGCAAAATCCGTATTTGTCTACAAGGATTTACCATTTTAAACATGTTTTAAGTTTCTTGTTCTGAAAAGACGACTACGTATATTAAGAAAAAAAGGCAAAATATAAGCCCCGCCCACCCGCCCTATCTCGATTGTGATGATTTTCTTTTAATCCTTGAGAGCCAAAGGAGCGAAATTTAAACGCAAAATTCTTATTATTTTTCTAAAAGAAATTGCCAAGTAAGACATTTTTTCAGAATCGAGTTATTCAAAGAATACTATTTATATTAAGAAAAAATTAAAGCCAGAGATTAAGCACCACCCATGCTTGCTCTGATCTGCAAAATCCATATTTCCTTACAAAAATTTACCATTTTAAATGTGTTTTAAGTTTCTAAAAATTAAAAAATCTTCACAATTGAGATGGGGTGGGTGGGCGGGGTTTATATTTTGCCTTTTCTTTCTTAATATACATGGTATGCTTTGAACAACACGATACTCATTTCTAATTTATTGTAAAGAAATGAGTATTTTGCAGTTAAGCTCTGTCCCCTTGGCTCATGGCGTATAAAAAAAATCATCACAATAGAGATAGGGCGGGTGGGCGGGCTTACATTTTCTCTTTGTGTTTTAATATGTGTAGACTTCTTTTCACAACATGAAACTTAAAACATGTTTAAATGGAAAATTTGTATAAAGAAATATCGATTTTGCAATAGGCTCCGCCCTATAATTGCAAAATACATGTTTCCTTGCAAGAATCTTTTAACTATGTTTTAAGTTTCTCGTTGTGAAAAGATGGCTATATATATTAAGAAAAAAAGGAAAAATATAAGCCCCGCCCACCCACCCTGTTTTAATTGTGATGATTTTTTTTTATTCATTGTGAGCCAAGGGGACGGAGCTTAACTGCATAATCCTTATTTCTCTACGAGAAATTAAAAACATGTTTTTGAGTATCGTGTTGTTCAAAGAATAGTAAGTAACTATATTAAGAAAAAATAAAGCCAAACATTAGGCCCCACCCATACCTGCCCCAATCTCAATTTTCAATTGTGATCAATTTTTTATTCGTTGTTTGAACCAGGGGCGGGGTTTACTTGCAAATTCCATATTTGTCTCCCAGAATTTACCATTTTAAACATGTTTCAAGTTTCTTGTTGTGAAAATATGGCTATTCATATTAAGAAAAAAAAAAGCAAAATATAAGCCCCGCCCACCCGCCCTATCTCAATTGTAATGATTTTTCTTATTCGTCGTGATCCAATGGAACGGAACTTAACTGCAAAAACCTTATTTAGGGGCGGGGCTTAATTGCAAAATCCATATTTGTCTCCAAGAATTTACCATTTTAAACATGTTTTAAGTTTCTTTTTCTGAAAAGACGACTAATTATATTAAGAAAAAATGCAAAATATAAGCCCCGCCCACCCGCCCTATCTCAATTGTGATGATTTTCTATTAATCCTTAAGAGCCAAAGGAGCGAAATTTAAACGAAAAATTCTTGTTATTTTTCTAAAAGAAATTGCCAAGTAAGAAATTTTTTGAGAATCGAGTTATTCAAAGAATACTATGTATATTAAGAAAAAATTAAAGCCAGAGATTAAGCACCACCCATATCTGGTCTGATCTGCAAAATACATATTTCCTTACAAAAATGTACCGTTTTGAACGTGTTTTAAGTTTCTAAAAATTAAAAAATCTTCACGATTGAGATGGGGGGTGGGTGGGCGGGGTTTATGTTTTGTATATTTTGCCTTTTTTTCTTAATATACATGGTATTTTTTGAATAACACGACACTCATTTTTAATTTCCTGTAAAGAAATGAGTATTTTGCAGCTAAGCTTCGACCCCTTGGTTCACGGTGAATAGAAAAATCATCACAATTGAGATAAGGCGGGTGGGCGGGGCTTATATTTTGCTTTTTTCTTAATATATATAGCCATCTTTTCACAACAAGAAACTTAGAACATGGTTAAAATGGTACATTTTTGAAAAGAAATATGTATTTTGCAATTATGAAGTGGAGCCTAATTGAAAATCGATATTTCCTTATACAAATTTTCCATTTTAAACATGTTTTAAGTTTCATGTTGTGAAAATAAATCTACACATATTAAAACAAAAAGGCAAAAAGTAAGCCCGCCCACCCGCCCTGTCTCAATTGTGATGATTTTTTTATTCGCCGTGAACTAAGAGGGCGGAGCTTAACTGCAAAACACTTATTTCTTGACAAGAAATTAAAAACATGTTTTTTGAGCATCGTGTTCAAAGAATACTATTATTCTTTTCCTTAACATACATAGTATTCTTTGACAATACGATATTGTAAACATGTTTTTAACTTCTCATAGAGAAATAAGGATTTTACAGTTAAGCTCCGCCTTCTTGGCTCACGACGAATAAGAAAAATCATCACAATTGGGATAGGGTGGGTGGGCGGGGCTACATTTTGCCTTTTGTTTCTTAATATGTGTAGACTTATTTCGACAAGAAACTTGAAGCATGTCTAAAATAGTAAATAAATACGGCAAAACTTGAACATCAAAGTCAGTGTCAACGGCAACTTGCCAACGAATCTTATAAATGGCAATTTTCAGCTCTAGAAGCAACGCCAGCGGGAACAACAACTGCAACTGGAATTTCAACGTCAATAGCAAGTTTATAAACCCAACTTCAGAGTTGAATCGTAAAATGTTGCCATACAGTTTAGATTTTTTTTCCAAAAATATGGATGTCAAGGGTAAGCATTCAACACGGATTTATGAACCACAAGTGTAGGTCTATGTTATTCCATAAAATTTAAAGACTAATATGTAATAAATTATTAATATGAAGTCAATGAAAAGAAACATGACAATTAAAAAAAAACAGCATAAAAACAATAAAATGACTCGGAACATGTTTCATCATTTGGATAGGCACAAACGTTATGTTAATGTCTATACATTTCATTGCGAAGTTTCATCCTGTCATTTTCATATTGTCAATATTCGTCAGTTTTTTCGATTGCGTATTGGATGAGGTTGATAATAAATTTATTAAATAAAGATTCATTATTGTTATTATTAAAAATCACTCTTTTGTTTGGTTTAAAATATTATCGCAAAAAGTTCTGGTTTCGAATTCAAAATTTTCATTAACTAAACCAAGAAATTTTCGATGAGACACTCGTTTCTTATCTAAGTAGGTAGATCTTTAAAGAGTGGCGGAAGTGAAAAATAAGCTCTACAAGAATTCAGAGCCGATTACCTACTAAACGAAGACTTAGAGGTTAGTTAATTAAACTGAATTAGCAATTTCGTGTCACAATTTAGCACTTTTTTGTAACCTTCTAAACGACTTACATGTTTTCAAAGTGTACAATAAACAGATTATTTATAAATAATAGGTCAGGCCACTTAGTAGGTTACGTTGCAAAAGCTGAATTAAACTTGGTAAACTTTGATTAGATGTAAATTGAAACAATTGCATCGGTAATTAATTAGAAGTGCATCGTCAGTCCAGATTGTGGATTTCACAGCAAAACTCACGTGTTAGAAGACTGACAAAACTTTTATATAACTTAAGAATTCAGTCACATTAACTTATTCAGTGCTATAAAAGATACCAAGGATTATTTACGGTGACGTCTCCACGTTGCGTCATACCGTAAAAGTGCATATAAGTGATTGCGGAATACGCTTGCGGTCAGACAAAGCAACGCATCCACTTCGGTGTTATTGGAAAAGTGACCCTATAAACAAGTCGTAAGTTTTTTGTGTCAGTGTGTCCTTAAATCATCATTAGTTTAATTTCAACATTTTTTGTGCCGTTTTTGAAACACAGTCGGTATCCGATAAAGTTATAATTAACTTTCTACAACAAAGTCGTAAATAAAGAAAGACAAAACAAGTTTATTGCCAGTTAAGTTTTAATGATACGACAGGGAGAAATATTAATTGGCACTTATAACAGGATAAGTTTCCTCTTATAGGCCAAATTCCATTACTCTACTTGAAACTCATTCTCGAGTGTCACTTCCAAGTTCTGCCTATTAATTATTGTTGGTGGCAATAATTATTGTGGCCGTAGCCCTCGAGATTTATCACAAGTTCATTGATTAAATTAGGGTGTGAAGATGTGCTTTTGTTTTAGAGGCTTGCTTATTGACTACGAACCAATTAAAATGACGCTCATACGACTTTATTCTTTGAGGTGACGTCATCAATTTTTTGAAGAGGATTAATAATAATTACTACAATGGCAGAATTAATTTGCAATTTTTTGGACGGCGCGTATTTAAATACTTGTAGATAGTAACAACAGGGTTTAAAATAATGAAAGTTCTCGAACTCAATTACGAAAATTTGGGACATTTATCTCTGTCCATCTCCAATGCACCTACGAGTTTTAGGCGCCAGCGCCGGAAAGTTTCCATTTTTATCTTCCTACACGAGTTTGTTAAAACAAACTTTCGAAGTTTGGAATCTTTGTTTCGAGCGAGAGCACCGATGCCGATTTTATTTAAATTCGGGAAAACGTTTGTGAATTTGATAATTTGTAACTCGTCAGTAAACATCCTCCGCAGGAAGGATCTGAAATTGAAAGTTGAAGTTTGTTTCGATTTTGCGAAATTTTATCATTAAACTGGAGGAAAGTAATTAAATATTTATTTTGCGGCTATCAGGAAAATGCGTGGGCGGGTAAAATTACCGGAGCGGTTGAAGCTAAGAAAAATCGGGACTAGTGGTAATTGTTAGATATCTTCCGGTCTGATTACGTCGATAAGCTCTGATTGATTCGGACCTAAATATTCATGAAAAATTTCATCCGATTATTGATGTAAGCGGTTTTTGAAAAATGTGGAACTATTATCCGCCTTACTAAGCCGAAAAATTATTATCCAGTCCCATGAATTTGACGCTTCGATATTGGACGGATAAGCCGCTTTTATCAGATCACGTCCAGAGATAAATTCTAATATTTCAGTACAATTCCTCGGGTCTAATAAAGATTCGATGCGCCGTGACAGCCGGATCCGGGTGACTATTGCAGCCAACCTCGGATTAAAAAAGACACAAACCCTAACTTTTAAGTGCGACTTCAATGTTTTATCAACCATTTTTATTAATAGCGAAGCGAAACAGCAGTCGCAGATATTCGGGCTCTCTTCTGTGAATTCCCGAGATTATCTTTCAGAAGTCTTTCGTTTCCGGGGCGCTCGCAAACTCAATTCCGGAGCGAAAGCCGAACTGCTCTAACTAGTCCAGAAATTCCACTCGACTTTTGTAGGAATAACGGAGAAACAAAAGTTTTCCTAATACGGTTGGCGCTTCCACTGTACAATTACATCTTAATTACGAACCAGCTCAGCTTCGGCAGAAAGAGATCGACACCACGGTTTAAACTTTAACGTCCAACGTGACCGAAAATTCCGCTTCACTCAAGTGCCACAAAAAATTTAGTTATAAGAGTGCGGGATTTTGAGGGATTTAAAAAGTATTTCTCTAGAGTTTCGTGAACGCCGTTGTTTTAAGCCGAAAGGTGGCAGGCCCTAACTCTAACTAAAATAAAAATCCAACTAATTAAAATCGCCATCCACGAATAAAAATTTGAAAATTGTCGGGATTGCGTGCCTGCGTTGTTGGCGCGGAGGGCTGTTTATCACGTGAACCGGCCTAAATTTAACAGTGACTTTAAATTTTATATTTTCCAATTTGTGTGATGTCGAGGCAGAGATATGTTCCATACGAAATTTATTGCGAAATTTCCGCTGGAGCAAACGTGTTCGCTTTACCGATGGTAATGTACGATGATATCTCCATATAATATGATCTATTAATTCTATCTGACCCATTCGAGCCGTCCCAGGAGTCGCTGGGGTTTTTTGATGTATGGGCCTGTCGTGGCGTGAGGGCAAGGACTTGAGGAAACCATTTTTCACTAAGGTAATGCGGAATTATAATTGTTCGGCGTCTATGAGTGGAAATTTATTGCTTTACGGGTAAATAAATCTCGGGGTGTGTATTAGTGACGTGAGGATTTGGTTTCTCAACCGGGTGATCTTTGAAATTTATTATTTGGTGAGAAATAGCCATAAAATAACGTACTCATGTACTTGTGGTTTATGAATCCGCCTTATTTTTGTTTTTTAAAGAACGTTGATAATCAAACAATAATTATATTTTTTTAGTAATCAGTTGATGAGCTCTTTTTAAACACAGTCGTTAGAACATTTGACGTATGTTTAGATAACAATAAGTAACAAACGTATTTAGCATTTAACTGAAAAACGGTGTTTTCTTATCCTTGCATTGACAAAAATTATGTTTGTGATATTTAAATTACTAGTCACTAGTTTTCCGCTAGAGCTGACATTCTACCTTGACTAAGTATGTTAGGCATCTGAATTAGAACAATAGGCCAAAACTGTAGAACTCTGTACAAATAATTGCAAAAATTTGTAACCAGGTCATTGACATCAGTTATTGTTGAATATGTACAGATGTCTACCGCTCGAATTTATTTATTTCATGAATGAACAACGTATTGTAAGCATTATTTAAATTATCTGACGTATCCAACTGGCGCGAAGTCGTATTCATCCCGACTGAATGGCATCGGCGTGCAGTCAGAATTTAAATTTTTTGCAAGTAATTCCAGTAAGTAACCAATTTATAATAATGCGAGCAGCTGTTTTGTGAGAAAAAGGATGTATTATGTATTTTTATTCCGGCCTCCCTTCCGGCCGTCCAATTTCCCTTTCCCTCCCACATTCATTTTAGCAGACTCCTAGGAATCGTATTTTGCCCATGTTATTTTTGTATAATTTGTGTTTTATGATGTAGGCGTTCGTATTTTTTTAATAACGCCATACCTTCCCGTAAGACGAATATTTTTCCCGTTTTTATCAACTTGTTTTAATTAAAACAACGTCCATAAAAACGAAACGAGCACATGTATAAAACAAAAATTAAGAACTCGAAACACAAGCGGGCTTAATAAGTTTATTCATAATGGAACTAATTTCGAGATTGCGAGGCCTGGAATCAATTCCGGGAAAAAGCCATAGTGCATGTCGTAAATTCCGGGCTAATTTTTCCAACCGATCTGTCATGCGAGCCGGCGTGACGTAAGCACGGATTTATCTGTCATACCGGGAAGTTGACAAGTCCACTTTTTCAAGTGCTGCCGGGATAAATCTTGTCGGGCGAAGTTGTGTATAAAAATTCGGGGAGGTTCAAGGCCTTTGATATCAACAGCTTTTTTCCTAGGCGCTAACTGACTAAAATCTGTCACGACTAGCCGTAAAAAATTCGCTCAGGTCGGGAGGTTGTTATAACATGATGAAAAAAGCACAGTTGTGTCACATTAATTTATTTTGTGGCTGTTGTTGCGTCCGGAAGACCGGAGCGCCGAAATTGAGGATTATTAGGAATTTGCTCGTAACGCTCTTAATCTACTAATGGAATTGTTAATAAATATTTTAAAGTAAATTGGCTGGTTTACACACTCGTAGGCAATAATTGAAGGCTTTGGTCGATTTGGGTAATTAAATACTTAAGCTGACTAGCTACTATTAACACTATGACGTTATTGCATTTATCGTTTAAACATGGTTTTATATTTTTGACCGCCGACGACACAAATGGAAGTTTTTCAAGAGCATAAATAATTCATTTAAGATTGTACTGGAATTTCCCGTCAACAAGACTGAATTTTTAAAATTTATATTAGTTAATGTGTTTTTCCTTGGACTGTTAATAATTTCGGTAAACAAAAATAAACGTTCCCTTCGCTGCTGCTGATGAGGGTAGACAGGTAATATAACGATAAAGCTACTTTCTTATCGTGGGATATTTATGTTTTACATTTAAATTTCAATCTGGATTTGTATTGTAAAATCTCCAGTTCTGTCCTTCTTTTAGACTGGCTTTCTAAGCTCTGTTTTGCCTAGGATATTGTCCCGGGCTTCTTTTTTCGGTGTATTTGTTGTCCACATTTTTTACTGGTACTCTACTTCCCATTCTTTATAAGTGTCCCCATAACCCATAAACCCAATTGTTTTATCTCGATGTGCTTCTCTACTGATTTTAATTGTAATAATTTTTTAATAATTTTTTTCACTTCAAACTTTTTCAATTTCTTTATTTCTGTTTTTTTCTGAAACTGACAAAACTTTTCTTTTCATTATGCTTATTTTCATTTCACATTTTGTAAGAGTCTCGTTCCATACTTTCTTAGTTCTTCGTTTAGTTTCTCTTATTACGTCGTCCATGAATAAACCGAAGGGGACTCAGGCTGCCTCCCTGCCTGACACCTTCTCTTCATACAGAATTATTAGTTTCCCTATTCATTTCTTCGAAAACTCCAATGGTTCTTCTAGAATCGTCCTTTGAAATATTCAAAAATATGCAAAATACGCCCAATTTTCGACCAATTTTCAACAAAATTTTCGAAATTTCACTAAATACATTTTCTTGTACATTTCGGGCCGCAGAAGTCATATCCGCTTTCATTTCTTCGATAACTGCAATGGTTTTTCCAAAATAGTCCTTTGAATTATTCAAAAATATGCAAAATCGGCCCAATTTTCTACCAATTTTCAACAAAATTTTCGAAATTTCACTAAATACATTTTCTTGTAGATTTCGGGCCGCAGAAGTCACATCCGTTTTCATTTCTTCGATAACTCCAATAGTTTTTCCAAAATCGCCTTTTGAAGTATATAAAATATGCAAAATATGCCCAACTTTCGACCAATTTT